TATTGGTAATCCCCCTTATGTATGCTGGGAGGCAGCTGAACAGTCTCGGGCCCCTGACACTTATTGTATTGTCTCTTAACGTGCTAGTGACACCCCTGCTTTTCACTGGCGGGATGTTGCATCGTCTGCCGAGTCTTTTGCTTTCATAGAGAGTGATTTTCGTGTGCAAGTTCGGTACTAGTCCCTCTAGGATTTTCCAGGTGTATATAACATTTATCTCTCCCGCCTGCGTTCCAGGGAGTACAGGTTCAGGAACTTCAAACGTGCCGTGAAGGTTCTCTGTACATTTTCTAGGTCAGCAATTTCACCTGCCTTGAAAGGTGCTGTTAGTGTGCAGCAATATTCCAGCCTAGATAGAACAAGTGACCTGAAGAGTGTCATCATGGGCTTGGCATCCCTAGTTTTGAAGGTTCTCATTATCCATCCTGTCATTTTTCTAGCAGCTGCAATTGATACAATGTTATTGTCCTTGAAGGTGAGATCCTCTGACATCATCACTCCCAGGTACTTCACATTAGTTTTTCGCTCTATTGTGTGGTTGGAATTTGTTTTAATCCGATATAGTTTTAATTTCCTCACGTTTTCCATATCGGAGTAATTGAAATTTCTCATCATTGAACTTCATAGTTTTCTGCGGCCCATTTAAAGATTTGGTTGATGTCCTCCTGGAGTCTTGCAGTGTCTTCAAGGTAGGACACTGTCATGTAAATTAGGGTGTCGTCTGCAAAGGAAGACACGGTGCTGTGTCTGACATCTCTGTCTGTGTCAGATATGAGGATGAGGAACAAGATGGGAGCGAGTACTGTGCCTTGTGGAACAGAGCTTTTCACCGTAGCCGCCTCAGACTTTACTCTGTTGACTACTACTCTTTGTATTCTGTTTGTTAAGAAATTATAGATCCATCTACCAACTTTTCCTTTATCACGCATTATGTGCGCTATTACACCATGGTCACACTTGTCGAAAGCTTTTGCAAAGTCTGTGTATACTACATCTGCGTTTTGTTTGTCTTCTAGAGCATCCAGGACCTTGTCATAGTGGTCCAGTAGTTGGGACAGACAGGAGCGACCTGCACTAAACCCGTGTTGCCCTGGGTTGCGTAATTTTAAGAACTATGTTGTAATAATGATATAACGTCTAGACGTGTGAGATATTGTGACCTGAGAAGTGGTCACGGAGGGATGTTATTGTGACCTGGTGACCTGAGAAGGTGGTCACAGAGGGATGTTATTGTGACCTGGTGATCTGAGAAGGTGGTCACGGAGGGATGTTATTGTGACCTGGTGATCTGAGAAGGTGGTCACAGAGGGATGTTATTGTGACCTGGCGATCTGAGAAGGTGGTCACGGAGGGATGTTATTGTGACCTGGCGATCTGAGAAGGTGGTCACAGAGGGATGTTATTGTGACCTGGCGATCTGAGAAGGTGGTCACAGAGGGATGTTATTGTGACCTGGCGATCTGAGAAGGTGGTCACAGAGGGATGTTATTGTGACCTAGCGACCTGAGAAGGTGGTCACGGAGGGATGTTATTGTGACGAGGTTACCTGAGAAGGTGGTCACGAAGGGATGTTATTGTGACCTGGTGATCTGAGGTGGTCACGGAGGGATGTTATTGTGACCTGGTGATCTGAGAAGGTGGTCACGGAGGGATGTTATTGTGACCTGGTGATCTGAGAAGGTGGTCACAGAGGGATGTTATTGTGACCTGGCGATCTGAGAAGGTGGTCACGGAGGGATGTTATTGTGACCTGGTGACCTGAGAAGGTGGTCACGAAGGGATGTTATTGTGACCTGGTGATCTGAGGTGGTCACGGAGGGATGTTATTGTGACCTGGTGATCTGAGAAGGTGGTCACGGAGGATGTTATTGTGACCTGGTGATCTGAGAAGGTGGTCACAGAGGGATGTTATTGTGACCTGGCGATCTGAGAAGGTGGTCACAGAGGGATGTTATTGTGACCTGGTGATCTGAGAAGGTGGTCACGGAGGGATGTTATTATGACCTGGTGATCTGAGGTGGTCACAGAGGGATGTTATTGTGACCTGGCGATCTGAGAAGGTGGTCACGGAGGGACATTATTGTGACGTGGTGACCTGAGAAGGTGGTCACGGAGGGATATTATTGTGACCTGGTGACCCGAGAAGATGGGCACGGAGAGATATTATTGTGACCTGGTTACCTGAGAAGGTAGTCGGGGGGATATTGTGACCTGGTGATCTGAGAAGGTGGTCACGCAGCACTGTGGTTGTGCTGCAGCACTGTGGTGGTGCTGCAGCACTGTGGTTGTGCTGCAGCACTGTGGTGGTGCTGCAGCACTGTGGTGGTGTTGCAGCACTGTGGTTGTGCTGCAGCACTGTGGTGGTGCTGCAGCACTGTGATGGTGCTGCAGCACTGTGATGGTGCTGCAGCACTGTGGTGGTGTTGCAGCACTGTGGTTGTGCTGCAGCACTGTGGTGGTGCTGCAGCACTGTGATGGTGCTGCAGCACTGTGGTTGTGCTGCAGCACTGTGGTGGTGTTGCAGCACTGTGGTTGTGCTGCAGCACTGTGGTGGTGTTGCAGCACTGTGGTGGTGCTGCAGCACTGTGATGGTGCTGCAGCACTGTGGTGGTGTTGCAGCACTGTGGTTGTGCTGCAGCACTGTGGTGGTGTTGCAGCACTGTGGTGGTGCTGCAGCACTGTGGTGGTGTTGCAGCACTGTGGTTGTGTTGCAGCACTGTGGTGGTGCCGCAGCACTGTGGTGGTGCTGCAGCACTGTGATGGTGCTGCAGCACTGTGGTTGTGCTGCAGCACTGTGGTGGTGCTGCAGCATTGTGGTTGTGCTGCAGCACTGTGGTGGTGTTGCAGTACTGTGATGGTGTTGCAGTACTGTGATGGTGTTGCAGTACTGTGGTGGTGTTGCAGTACTGTGATGGTGTTGCAGTACTGTGGTGGTGTTGCAGTACTGTGATGGTGCTGCAACACTGTGGTGGTGCTGCAGCACTGTGGTGGTGCTGCAGCACTGTGGTGGTGCTGCAGCACTGTGGTGGTGCTGCAGCACTGTGGTAGTGTTGCAGTACTGTGGTGGTGTTGCAGTACTGTGATGGTGCTGCAACACTGTGGTGGTGCTGCAGCACTGTGGTGGTGCTGCAGCACTGTGGTGGTGCTGCAGCACTGGTGGTGCTGCAGCACTGTGGTGGTGCTGCAACACTGTGGTGGTGCTGCAGCACTGTGGTAGTGTTGCAGTACTGTGGTGGTGTTGCAGTACTGTGGTAGTGCTGCAACACTGTGGTGGTGCTGCAGCACTCTGGTGGTGCTGCAGCACTCTGGTGGTGCTGCAGCACTGTGGTAATGCTGCAACACTGTGGTGGTGCTGCAGCACTGTGGTGGTGTTGCAGTACTGTGGTGGTGGTGCTGCAGCACTGTGGTGGTGCTGCAACACTGGTGATGCTGCAGCACTGTAGTGGTGCTGCAGCACTGTGGTGGTGCTGCAGCACTGTGGTGATCCTACAGCACTGTGGTGGTGCTGCAGCACTGTGGTGGTGCTGCAGCACTGTGGTTGTGCTGCAGCACTGTGGTGGTGTTGCAGTACTGTGGTGGTGTTGCAGTACTGTGGTGGTGCTGCAACACTGTTGTGGTGTTGCAGCACTGTGGTGGTGTTGCAGTACTGTGGTGGTGCTGCAACACTGTGGTGGTGGTGCAGCACTGTGGTGGTGTTGCAGTACTGTGGTGGTGCTGCAGCACTGTGGTGGTGCTGCAACACTGTGGTGGTGCTGCAGCACTGTGATGGTACTGGAGAGACTGTGGTGGTGCTGCAGCACTGTGGTGGTGCTGCGTGAGTGGGTGCTGAGGCCAGGTTTCCTACGGGGATCTCCCACTCAGTTGCCTCTCGTCTACAACCAAAACTGTCTCACATAAATGTCTTTATTTGTGTGGCTCAGATTAATAACCTAGACAGTATCATAGGGTACGACTCCAGTACAGTAACCCTTCATTGTTGTCTTTGTTATGATGACACCCTTGTGCAGGTATATTGAATTTATTAAAATATATAGTGATGCGTGGCAACTGTGCCAGTAATGCAGGATGTTGGCAATATAAGCAGAGTGGCAGTGGTGCATGAAACAAGACAGCTGCTGGCAGGGCTAGTGCACGGTGTATCACGCAGTTCTACGTCACTAGTGAAGAGTGTCAGTTCTACATCACTAGTGAAGAGTGTCATTCAGTTCTACATCACTAGTGAAGAGTTACTTAGTTCTACACTCGCTGCCTCTCACTTTCAACCAAGTACTGGGTTGATCATGAAGGTGATATTCACTATAATGACAGCTTGTCTAGCAGTGCAGGTCGCTGCCTCTACAATCTCAAGGCGATCCACGGACTCTACTGGCACCCTGGACACAAGTTCCAGTATTGTTATGCCAGGTAGGCACCAGTTAACCCCTAAGAGGCAGGCATCTCACAGCACTGCAGCAGCCACTGCTAAGAAACTTCCTGAGCAAGGTGATCCCATCGGTGGCTCCATCGTGTTTAGTGAGTCAGAGTTAGTATCTGCAGGAGGCAAGAGTATAGTCAAGTCTGTCTCCAGCAACAACGCAACTCAGACACCCTCAGTCTTTTTCCCAGGAGAAAAGAGAGGCACTAACAATGCCGGCATCGTGTTTCCTACAGAGACCACAATCAATACTGTGTCAAACAGAGGTACTTGTTCAATGGAATATGCAAGTACGATGGTGAACGGTGTGTGCGAGCGCTTCTTGACACAAGGTCAATGTGCACAGGGTGAGTGGTTGCTACTGCGTGAAGCAGGACCAGTGTGTGTACCTCGACCTTGTCCCTTCGGGCAGCTCTTCTACAATAAACGATGTGTCAACGTAACAGACGTCTCCGTGTGTAGAGAAGGACAAATGCTGTACGTTGATTTCTCCGGTTTCAGCATGTGTGACTGCGAGCCCGGGTATATTTATGACGCACTCAGCGGTAAATGCTATGCTCGCCATGATAAGGGACCCTGTGGCTTCGGCGAGTACGTGGAGATGTCGGTGACAGGTGAACTAGACTGTGTCCCCAGCCCGTGTCGTTTAGACGGTTTCGTGAAAGATAGCGTCACTAAGCGTTGTTACCGCAAGACGTACCGCGGCTTCTGCGAAGATAACATCATTTTTCACCGTGAGAACAATACAGCCGAGTGTCCATTCGTTGATATAAGAAATATTTTGGATGTGGTCACCCTGCGAGCATGTCCTCCTGGCTCCCTCCGTGATTTTCTAAACGAGTGCCGCCAGCAATTCATCATCCCTGGTTCCACCTCCTCGTCTGCTTTTAACAACAGATGTAGTGGTGGCTTCGTCATGGACTCCAGAGGAACATGTCGCCGCGCCACCAAGTTACTAGGTTGAGACAACACTTTAGCCGTGTTGAGGCTTATGTACGTGGCGGTAGTGGCGTTTAGAGACCTAGGCAGGTACCGCCCACTGCCTGTAAAAGACCACTGGTACCTCTGTGTGCGTATTTCGAACTGTGTACAAGAAACTCTTGGTACTTTCAACAGCTCTTTTCAAAGATGTTTCTCGTGACTCCTCTGCCTATATGTGTGTGAGTTGAAGATCTCGGTACTTCCAGCCTGCAAGATGTAGGTTCCTGGGTACCTAGTGCTGGGTATGGTTCCTTTAGCTCTGCACGATGTAGGTTCCTGGGTACCTAGTGCTGGGTATGGTTCATCTAGCCCTACACGATGTAGGTTCCTGGGTGCCTAGTGCTGGGTATGGTTCCACAATCACCCATAACAAGGTGAACTACGAGAGTCAGTCTCAACTCTGCTATCAACAGTGTTGTTAATGATTCGCTACAATTATGACTTATTGTTAATTATAATTTGTGTAACAAAATTGGAGTTAATAATAATTAACATTATTATTATTATTATTATTATTATTATTATTATTATTATTATTATTCACAAGAAAGCGCTGAATCCAAATGGGTTATACAGTTATTACCATAAAAGTCTGGATGATGGCATTATTGGTCTGTTTTAATTTAAATTAATTTACAACAAATGCAGAAAGTTATCAGAAATAATAAGTGAATCATTTATGGAGTAAATTAAATTAATTTACAGACTAAACAGTAAATTCACTCAGACTCTCCATCTTCCAAATTATAATGAAGGGAATAAACCCGTATGGATCGAGCAAACTATGTTGCTAAAACCTGCCAGTGTGGACGCCTCAGTGTGGACGTCTCAGTGTGGACGCCTCAGTGTTGACGCCTCAGTGTGGACGCCTCAGTGTGGACATCTCAGTGTGGACGCCTCAGTGTTGACGCCTCAGTGTGGACGCCTCAGTGTGGACGCCTCAGTGTGGACGTCTCAGTGTGGACGCCTCAGTGTTGACGCCTCAGTGTGGACGCCTCAGTGTGGACGTCTCAGTGTGGACGCCTCAGTGTTGACGCCTCAGTGTGGACGCGTCAGTGTGGACGCGTCAGTGTGAACGCCTCAGTGTGGACATCTCAGTGTGGACATCTCAGTGTGGACATCTCAGTGTGGACATCTCAGTGTGGACATCTCAGTGTGGACATCTCAGTGTGGACATCTCAGTGTGGACATCTCAGTGTGGACGCGTCAGTGTGAACGCCTCAGTGTGGACATCTCAATGTGGACATCTCAGTGTGGACATCTCAGTGTTCTACAATGCTTTATATATTTATACTGTGATATTAGGTTAGTAACGTAGCGTGTGTGTGTGTGTGTGTGTGTGTGTGTGTGTGTGTGTGTGTGTGTGTGTGTGTGTGTGTGCGTGTGTGTGTGTGTGTGTGTGTGTGTGTGTGTGTGTGTGTGTGTGTGTGTGTGTGTGTTGTGTGTGTGTGTGGTGTGTGTGTGTGTTGTGTGTGTGTGTGTTCAATAAAAATGTACAAGATTCAATATGGAATAAATCACAAATACAAATGTGTATTTTTATTTAAACCCGTTGATAAGTGTTGTTTCTAGATGTTGATAAGTGTTGTTTCTAGATGTTGATAAGTGTTGTTTCTAGATGTTGATAAGTGTTGTTTCTAGATGTTGATAAGTGTTGCTTCTAGATGTTGATAAGTGTTGTTTCTAGATGTTGATAAGTGTTGTTTCTAGATGTTGATAAGTGTTGCTTCTAGATGTTGATAAGTGTTGCTTCTAGATGTTGATAAGTGTTGTTTCTAGATGTTGATAAGTGTTGCTTCTAGATGTTGATAAGTGTTGCTTCTAGTGTCATGTAGGGGGGTAATGATTAGGGGAATATGGGGGTAAGAGGAGGGTGTCAGTAGGTAGGGGACAGGCGAGGCAGTAGGAGGGATGTATGCGGAGGTAGGTAATGTAAAGGTGGAGGTAGGCAGGTAATGTGAGGTCACTGGTGACTACAAGTTCACCTCTCATTACTCTACCCACCACTCCACACTTCCCACCCTCTCACTACTTGAAATAAAAAATAAAAGAATAAATAGATACACAATAACGGGGACACCCAAACACAGTTTATTATTAAATCCTTGTACAATAATATATTTGGGAACAGGAGAACATTATTGTGGTTTAGACAAATAGGGTGGTACATATAAGCAGTGAGACAGGGAACATAATCAACTTTACTGCTCCAAGCCAGTACTCTGCCCAATGTCTCCAACAGTCTCTCCTTCCGAGACTCTCCAGCTCAGCTCTGCTCCCAGGCCAGAGCTCTGCCCGAATCTCTTCTGCTCAGCTGTTCCTTGGGCTTATATTGTCCCGAGAGCACCCCCCACAACCACGTGTACGACCTGACGCCTAGGACTGACGCCGGTGACGAACAAAGATGCTGAGACTTAAGCCGGAAAGGCGTGTCTCGGACAGACATTTGCCAAGGCAAGGTGACCATATAATTGGTTAAATTAGGTCTCTCTAGAGACCTCACAAGCCCAGCTGAACTACATCACACTAGATGTTGATAAGTGTTGCTTCTAGATGTTGATAAGTGTTGCTTCTAGATGTTGATGAGTGTTGCTTCTAGATGTTCATAAGTGTTGCTTCTAGATGTTGATAAGTGTTGCTTCTAGATGTTCATAAGTGTTGCTTCTAGATGTTGATGAACGTTGCTTCTAGATGTTCATAAGTATTGCTTCTAGATGTTGATAAGTGTTGCTTCTAGATGTTTACCTGGAGTTTTACCTGGAGAGAGTTCCGGGGGTCAACGCCCCCGCGGCCCGGTCTGTGACCAGGCCTCCTGGTGGATCAGAGCCTGATCAACCAGGCTGTTGCTGCTGGCTGCACGCAAACCAACGTACGAGCCACAGCCCGGCTGATCAGGAACTGACTTTAGGTGCTTGTCCAGTGCCAGCTTGAAGACTGCCAGGGGTCTGTTGGTAATCCCCCTTATGTGTGCTGGGAGGCAGTTGAACAGTCTCGGGCCCCTGACACTTATTGTATGGTCTCTTAACGTGCTAGTGACACCCCTGCTTTTCATTGGGGGGATGGTGCATCGTCTGCCAAGTCTTTTGCTTTCGTAGTGAGTGATTTTCGTGTGCAAGTTCGGTACTAGTCCCTCTAGGATTTTCCAGGTGTATATAATCATGTATCTCTCCTCCTGCGTTCCAGGGAATACAGGTTTAGGAACCTCAGCGCTCCAGTAATTGAGGTGTTTTATCTCCGGTATGCGCGCCGTGAAAGTTCTCTGTACCATTTTCTAGGTCAGCAATTTCACCTGCCTTGAAAGGTGCTGTTAGTGTGCAGCAATATTCCAGCCTAGATAGAACAAGTGACCTGAAGAGTGTCATCATGGGCTTGGCCTCCCTAGTTTTGAAGGTTCTCATTATCCATCTGTCATTTTTCTAGCAGATGCGATTGATACAATGTTATGGTCCTTGAAGTGAGATCCTCGACATGATCACTCCCAGGTCTTTGACGTTGGTGTTTTCGCTCTATTTTGTGGCCAGAATTTGTTTTGTACTCTGATGAAGATTTAATTTCCTCATGTTTACCATATCTGAGTAATTGAAATTTCTCATCGTTGAACTTCATATTGTTTTCTGCAGCCCACTGAAGATTTGGTTGATGTCCGCCTGGAGCTTTGCAGTGTCTGCAATGGAAGACACTGTCATGCAGATTCGGGTGTCATCTGCAAAGGAAGACACGGAGCTGTGGCTGACATCCTTGTCTATGTCGGATATGAGGATGAGAACAAGATGGGAGCGAGTACTGTGCCTTGTGGAACAGAGCTTTTCACCGTAGCTGCCTCGGACTTTACTCTGTTGACGACTACTCTCTGTGTTCTGTTAGTGAGGAAATTATAGATCCATCGACCGACTTTTCCTGTTATTCCTTTAGCACGCATTTTGTGCGCTATTACGCCATGGTCACACTTGTCGAAGGCTTTTGCAAAGTCTGTATATATTACATCTGCATTCTTTTTATCTTCTAGTGCATTCAGGACCTTGTCGTAGTGATCCAATAGTTGAGACAGACAGGAGCGACCTGTTCTAAACCCATGTTGCCCTGGGTTGTGTAACTGATGGGTTTCTAGATGGGTGGTGATCTTGCTTCTTAGGACCCTTTCAAAGATTTTTATGATATGGGATGTTAGTGCTATTGGTCTGTAGTTCTTTGCTGTTGCAACACTTTTCTAGAAGAAGCACTTATCAACATCTAGAAGCAACACTTATCTAGAAGAAACACTTTTCAACATCTAGAAGCAACACTTATCTAGAAGCAATGTTCATAAGTCTTGCTTCTAGATGTTCATAAGTGTTGCTTCTAGATGTTGATAAATGTTGCTTCTAGATGTTGATAAGGTTGCTTCTAGATGTTCATAAGTGTTGCTTCTAGATGTTCATAAGTGTTGCTTCTAGATGTTGATAAGGTTGCTTCTAGATAAGTGTTGCTTCTAGATGTTGATAAGGTTGCTTCTAGATAAGTGTTGCTTCTAGATGTTGATAAGGTTGCTTCTAGATAAGTGTTGCTTCTAGATGTTGATAAGGTTGCTTCTAGATAAGTGTTGTTCTAGATAAGTGTTGCTTCTAGATGTTGATAAGGTTGCTTCTAGATAAGTGTTGCTTCTAGATGTTGAAAAGTGTTTCTTCTAGATAAGTGTTGCTTCTAGATGTTGATAAGTGTTTCTTCTAGATAAGTGTTGCTTCTAGACGTTGATAAGTGTTTCTTCTAGATAAGTGTTGCTTCTAGATGTTGATAAGTGTGTCTTCTACATAAGTGTTGCTTCTAGATGTGTCCAAGTCAAATATTTCAATCTGTCTGTTTACTCTAACTAAATCTGGCACGCACACACACACACACACACACACACACACACACACACACACAATTGGAAGTTGAAGACTCAGATGAATCAAAGGGATGTTAGGAAGTATTTCTTCAGTCATAGAGTAGTCAGGCCATGGAATAGCCTAGAAAGTGATGTGGTGGAGGCAGGAACCATACATAGTTTTAAGGCGAGGTATGATAGAGCTCATGGGGCAGGGAGAGAGAGGACCTAGTAGCAATCAGCGAAGAGGCGGGGCCAGGAGCTGCGACTCGACCCCTGCAACCACAAATAGGTGAGTACAAATAGGTGAGTACACACACACACACACACACACACACACACACACAACACACACACACACACACACACATACACACACACACACACACACGCGCACACACACACACACACACACACACATGTACACACATACACAGTGCAAAGGTTTGCGACAAGGTTAGTTCCAGAGCTAAGGGGAATGTCCTATGAAGAAAGGTTAAGGGAAATCGGCCTCACGACACTAGAGGACAGGAGGGTCAGGGGAGACATGATAACGACATAAAATACTGCGCGGAATAGACAAGGTGGACAAAGACAGGACGTTCCAGGGAGGGTACACAGAAACAAGAGGTCATAATTGGAAGTTGAAGACACAGATGAGTCAGAGAGATATTAGGAAGTATTTCT